CATCATCGAAGCACCGAATGCTCCAAACAGCAGAGGCTATTGCAATTCGCCTCAAACAACCAGTGAGTGCTCTGTGTGGAGAAGAAGCAAGTCCAGCTAGCGAGCCACTACTACTGCCCTGACCGACTGGCCTTCAGTGGGTGGAGACTATCAATTCATGAATTTGTAATATAACCTTTTCTAATTCAATTGACATTCAGTGTGTATTGTTATGTTGATGCTATTGAGCTGTAATCCATTGGTATTATTATTATTACTATTAATTCGATGTTATTTAAACAGCAACATTAATGTTGTTGTTCATAACACCAATTCATTCATTCATTCACTATAATGGATGGATATATAACTGTAGAGCCTGATGATGATGATGAAGGGGTTATCGAAAAGAGTATTTATTCTTTGTTCAGTATCCATTCATATTATAATGAACCACTTGCCTTAGCCATCGTTACGTGAATGTGTAAACCGGACTACTTCACCACTAAATAACCCATTTTCTTCATCCTTGAAGCATCATACTTTATTGTTATTGTATTTCTTATACTTATAATCCTCTCAATTTTTTTGTTTTGTTTATTTTTTTTCATAAGTATGGTCATAATTTTAAGCTGTATTATGACTGTTAATTTTGTATTTCCCCCCACCGTGCTGCTATATCAACAAAACATTAGACCCAATAATCTATAACATGCTAAAGTTTCTAAACTGAATCGACAATACCGTTTGTAAGAAACTCACTGTTATTAGTATTTCTTATTATTATATCTAGTAATTATGTCGTAAATGTGGACAAATTCGTCCGATTAATTTTTAATTTTATGTATATGTTGAGTAAATCAGATGTAAATACTGAGGCTAGTTGACTTCTACACCTGTTTAAAAACTTCAAAGGATATCCATTTTCAACAAGAGTATCCATCAATATTTCGTTTTCCTTGTCTATAACATCAGCCGTGCAAATACGCTGAATCCTCTTAAATAGACACTTCACCAAGCCTCTCTTATATTGTAATGGACAGAAGCTGTGAAAATTAAGATATTGCCCTGTCCAATTGGGCTTTCTGTAGATAGACCGTCTTATTGAGCCATCGTCTCTTCGACTCAGAAGTATGTCTAAAAATGCGAGCTGGTTGGGACTTTCTTCCTCGCATGTAAGACTAATATGATTCTGTACAGAGTTAAGTCTGTCCAATAGACGACTCGCATCTTCATGATCATCGCATATCAAAATGATATCGTCTACATATCTCTTATAGAAAGGCAATTCAGAATTTAAATCAGAAGATAAGTTTTCAACATAAGACATAAAAACATCCGCTAATAAAGGTCCTAATGGACTCCCCATAGCAACGCCATCCACTTGTCTAAGATGTTCATCTTCAAACGTGAAATGGACGTTATCAGTACATAATAGTAATAAATCTTTCAAATAAGTTAAAGGAAAAGGAAGTGAAAAACAACTAGAAGATATATAGTCACAAAGAATATCAAAGTCAACTAGCCTCTAAACCTACAATCCATACCGTCCCTAAGAAAAAGGTTTTCATCAAATTACCATATAATGGGGAAATAAATAGTAGGATTTTGAGACAAAGGTGTTGAATTCGATCATCCATAGAACCTATTATACAGCCCAGTTTGTAATTGTCGAAAAAGCTAAAAATATGCCTAACTGGAAACCTCAAAAGTGCACAAGTGATTATATCACATCGCACACAATTTACCAATTTTCATGTGTGTGTGGACATACATACATAGGGAGGAGTAATCGCGCGTTGCACGTGAGGGTGGGAGAGCATATCCCAAAGTGGTTAGGAAAACAGATGAATTGTGACAAGCCCATAGATGCAGGTGCAAGACTACCAACTTCGTCTATAGCTAAACATTTAATCGATATGAACCATAAGGTTGATGTTAACTCAGCCTTTAAGGTCATCTATAAAAACGGTCAAGGACGTTTACTGAAATACGCTGAGGCTTTAGCCATTCATAAACTTAAGCCCCCCTTGTGTATTCAAAAACAGTTTGTTATTACTCTACCCATAACCTACCTTGGTAATCCTTATTCGATTGGATTACCAAACGTTTGTGTTAATTATTCTTAATTCTTTTTTTGTCACCTTGTTTAATTTAACTTTTCCATATATATTGACTTGACAAGTAAATGTGTGATCAGATTGTTCGAAATGTATAGCGCTAATACATCACATTTTTCAGATAATCTCCGTCTTCTAATAATGCTATCAAAATTGTTTATTATTATTATTTTTTCTGACTACTTCATCTTTAATTACGTGTTAGTTATCCTTGTAAAATTGTAATTTATTCTAACCATTTCTACCTTTCTGATTGTGTGTGTGTGTGTGTATTGATTTTCTTCGTTAATTATCACCCCATTGCCGCCTGCTTGACATGTTGACACTGACTGACTGACTGACTAATTATTGTTAACAAACAAACAAACAAACCAGCATGCCAGTGCCACTTGATGATGATTGGTAAATTGTTTGTGGTTGTGTATTGTAATAAAAATGCGTGTGTATACGTGTATATTGATTGATTAGAGTAGAGTAGAGCCAGAGAGAGTGAGATGAGGGAGGATCTAATTGAAAAGGTAAATATTTCTTTGCTGCTCAATCTTCCTGTATTATTATTATCATTATTATAATTGTACACCTTCATCTAATGTTTATAAACTTCTTTCGACCTGATTCTATAACAGTGGGGCACTTATCGTATCCACTGATGATATTCCCAGATTAAGTTAGTTTTGAAGTTATTTTGAAATACTGCGCCGTCATGTCATCATCGATGGTCACAAAAATCACGAAGAGGACCACCACCAACCTGCCTATTCGATATAATATTTCTTCACACAACTAAACACCGTGTAACATTCAGGTTTTATAGTGAGGCATACATATTTGTATTTTATACACTTCATCAGCGTGTAGGCAAAAGAAAAGGCTTCAAAAACAAATTTCATTTCACAAAGATTTTTAGCACGGTGTGTGTGTGTAGAGTTTAATCGTTTTTTTTGGAGCATTCCTTTGAAAGTGCGTCGGTGGCATAGCGGTTAGGACGCTCACTGACCATGCACATGATCCGGGCTTCGACCCCCGGCCGACGCACTCCTTTACCTCACTAAGCCAGAAATAAAACTGGTGGAGAGGAAAGGTTGGGCATGAGGCTAGCAACCCCATCCTTCAAAATTCATTGCTATGGAAACTTCAAGCCACTAGCTTGGAGCTGTATGTTCCACTGGGGAACGTGAAGGAAAAAATTCCTTTGAACAGCATCGCATCTTAGTCAACACAGAAGAAAGGGCTGTCATCATCGATAACACGAATATTTACACTCATATCCAATATCTATCTATCTATCTATCTACCTATCCATGCGAAAATATTGCTTGAAGATTGGGTCAAAAAAGCTCGCTGGCTGGCATTCAAACCAGCCACAAACTCAATCAGAAACAAGCTTTGTCCAGGTTGTACCAGATATATATTCATGGATAGGTGTGAAAACATAGCCACAGAAACTTTCACCCCCATCCCCAAAAATGTGGTGGAGGTGTATGTAGATGACACATTCACTGTACTTATAACACAGGATATAGATAGATTTTTCGAACACATTATAACTCAAAGGTAGAGGCAATTCAATTCACTTATGATGAATTGGAAAGTCAGGGAGCGAGGGAGCTTCCAATGTCAGATTGCAACGTAAAAAGGGAAGAAGATGCGAAGTTAAACACACTAGTGTGTGTTTACAGGAAACCCTCACATTCAAACAGATATTTGGACTTTCGATCACAATGTAACGACAGAAAGCAAGAGTCAGGGAACAGATCATTTATTAAGGAAATCAACGCATATTTATATATTTGCATGTACATTACTATGGATATTTAAGCAAACAAACACAGTCTTCCGATTGGTGGTTGTTTCTCACGTAAAGTTAATCTTTCATCTATTTGTGACTGTTTCTTGAATGTCAAATCCTCTATATGTTAACTGCATCCGCCTACGCAAAGTCTGCTGTGGTCGGTTTTGAATCAATCTTTGTTCACATTTTCTCACGACAAATCTTGGGAACGTAAATATTGACGTGAATTACTGTCTACCAATTTAGCTAGTAGACAGCTCTCACCACACTCGTCTCCCCGTCAAATAGCTTCGCGCGCAGGCTACGAAAAATTATTGCTTGAAGATTGTGTCAAAAAAGCTGGCTGGCAGTTAAACCAACCACGAACTCAATTAGAAACAAGTTTTTTTCAGTTGAAGGATCAATTCTGTGGAGCCTTTAAAACATAAAAATTTAGTTTATCTAATACCCTGCCTGCTGGAATGATTGTCACGTCAAATACATGGGTCAAACTAGTAGAACAGGGTCAGTGAGTGAGTCAGACTAACCGAGCAGCATAAAAACCTATCAGCAAAATCTAGATTAGTTGACCCGAATAAGATAAGAAATCTAGAGAATAGTTCGGCAGCTATCGCAAACACTACATGCGATCACACACATACAACCATACAATAGACAGGATGGGATAAGATGACAGTTTTAAAATCTAATGTCACAGCAGGGTGTAAGGAGGGAGAGATTGATAACAACGGAAGCTTTGTTTATCGAATCAACTGAGAGTGAATACGTGTAATAGGAATGATTCAACACCTGTCCACACAGATATCTGCAGTATTCTACTACCACGCCCAATGACGAAGATAAATAGGAGAGGACAACAAAGAAAACTATAGAACTCAAGTTTCAAAGTCGTGTGATTATAATTGATGATATGATTATGAACAGCAATAATGAATTGTGTTCGAAACAACTTTGTCATGCAGTAAATACTAATACTGTTTCACCCACTGACTGTGTGATACATCTGATAAACAAACTAATAAGGGAATTATATTATACATTATATTTCAGAGCATACGTATCAATTTTGTTTTGTCTTTTACAACGGTGACAGTTAGTTATATGCACATTTAACACATCGCTCTTCGTTGATATTCTGCCGTCGCCACACTGTAATCCTCAATTCGGAAGTAACGGCTTTCATTTTGTAGCAGAAACCTAAAAAACAGGAAAAGAGAGAGAAGCCGACTAATAAAGCTTCATATAAACCAGTGGAATAATTAGAAGTGAATCCTTCTGAACTTAACGACTTAGGAATCGACTTGTTACCAGGGAATAGTCTTATGGACTTAGAATATGCAGATGACATTGGCCTGTTAGGGGAGGATGCTGACAAAATGCAGACTCTTTTGAACAACTTGAGCAGCGATTTTCGTATGTTTGGCATGCGATTCGCCCATGTAAAATGTAAGATGCTGCTACAGGACTGGACTACATCTACCCCTAGCTTAGTGATAGGGAGTGAAGTGATAGAACATGTTGACCAGTTCACCTATTTGGGAAGTTGTATCAGCACCAATGGATTGATTGGTGACGAAATCTCAGCACGGATCCAAAAAGCCCGGGCTCCTTTCGCTAACTTACACCATCTCTGGCGTAGGCGTGACATCCGACTATCAACCAAGGGACGTGTGTAATGCTCAGCAGTTCGCTCCGTCCTTCTCTATGGCTCTGAAACATGACCAATATGAGTTGAAGACATGAAAAGGTTGACTATTTTTGATCATAGGTGTCTACGATCTCTTTCTCACGTTAGGTGGTATAATAAGGCAAGTAATGTCGACGTCAAATTAGGCGTAGTGTTGGGCAAAGAGGGAAAGTCGATCGACGAGGCTATAAAGTTACATAGATAGGGATAGCTAGGTCACGTGCTGCGCATGCCTAACAACCGCCTCCCCCGACGGGCATTACTAGCTGTTATTGGTGCAGGTTGGAAAAGAGTAAGCGGTGCCATGCCAAACAAAAACATGGCCTCATCAATCCATGAAATCCTTGACAGTTTAACTGAGTCAGGTAGGGAGATACAGACTTCCGGGTTGGGGCCCGCCCTCGGGACTCTAAGAATCAATGGCTGGAGACAATAGGTGACATGGCTAAAAATCGTTGTCAATGGCTTACGCAGATGTATTCAGTCTCTTGTGTAATCTTTCATATTCCTTTCTACCACTACTAATTCTGTTTCACTCTTATACTTGTCAAAACTCTATTGATTCTCTTCACTCATTTTCTTGTCTACCTTTGTGTGCTATTTGGAACGTGGCAACTCGAACTGATGCACTTCGGTGCCAAGTTCTATGTTGAATCTAGACAAAGGAATAGTAATAACGAAGAACAATATAGTTTCATTTGAGCCATATCACCAATTGTTTCCAGCCTTCATTGGTTTTCACTGTCCATCCCGAGGACCCCAACCAGTCAGGAAGCCAATCTACAACTTCCTACGTGGCTGTCTGGCTGGCTTAAACTAACTGTTGTGGATTTCATTGACGAGTGAAGCCATGTTTTCGTTTGACCGCTGCTAGCTAGCTCTTTTCCACCCTGACCAATCCTATGTCACCTAACATTGCCCATTGTCGAGGAAGGCGATGACCAGGCATGCATATGTAACACATGTCCTAACCACCTCACTCAGTCGATGTAATTTCACAGCCTCATTGTCAATTGATTTCCTCTCCTGCTTACCTACCACTCGACCGATGCCTCACCTCACTATTGCTCACCTTATTATACCACCAACTAACACGGGAGATAGAACGCAGGTAGGCACGTATGATCGAAGACAGCTAGCCAGCCTTTTCATGTCTTCCACTCTCAATGCCCATTTCTCACAGCCAGCCATTAAAGGAGGACGGAGTGGACTGTTGAGCAGTAATTTTAATAAAAACAAGTACTCAACATTGGGTTCTTTTTGGTTGTGGCGTGCATTAGGATCCGAGATATATACATATTTTATCCTTTATTGAGTCTGTCAACTGGAATATAATTATTTACCAGCAAACTCTACGGTATCAAATGACAGAAATATAAATAATAGGTAAGTGATTCCCATCTTTTAGAAGTAAGCTAACGTTGCAAAAATATTCGACCGCCACCTACAACGAGTCCGGTCAAGACTTCCTCTGGCCGATTGCCTACAACTATCTAATATCATCAAATCAATGTGTGCACCATGATGGCGAGCTATCTATTGGCATGGTGGCCACATTGCAAACCTGACTGACTGATAGAATTCAGTCTGCATCAAACAACGAAAGGACTAGCCAGACACGTCACACACACACTAGTTACTGACTAGTGTCAAATCAAAATATATTTTAAAAAACACTCACTGCAAAAACTTAGCAACTGAAGCTTCTAGCATAGGGAGACTATGCGCATCGACTCGGACGCATGAAACCATATCTCGGAGTTTAACTATAAACAGTAAAAATGTTTCAAAAGACAGACATTTTTTAGGTTCAATAATTCACATGAATTGTTGTATGTATGTTGTATGAGCTTGAAAACTATGTACATACCTGTTATTTGCATGGAGGATTTCATTTATCATGAGCTGACATAAGTTAGTGAGAACCATTGGAAAACCAACCAGGGAGTACTGCCAGACAGCTGTTTCCCCCGTCCCAGTTTTGGATTGGCTATTCAGCAGTACGCACCCACCCTACTGACGGGGTTCGAACCCAGGACCCTCTGATTACAAGGCAAGCTAGCTAGCTAGCTCGCAGACCATTGAGCCACTGGAACCCGATCCAATGGTCCTTGAATTCTAACTTCTGCCAATTCACGCACAACATAGCGCGACCATTTAGCAATGTCATCTTCTTCGATGAGTGAGTTACTGCCTCAACTTCAACCTGCTGTACCCTACTAGTCACGGCTTCCCACCAGAACCCCAGGTGCCTAACTGCCTAACTGCATAGGGTCAGTCGCTAGTGAGCATCAGATTAATTTTCAAGTATTGGTTTTGTAGGGATTTGTGTTTGATTGCATGGAGGATTTCATCAACTAAAATACTTTTTAGCAGCATGCACCCACCGACTGGGTGGTTTATCGAATCAACTGCAAACACGTGTAATAGGAATGATTCAACACCTGTCCACACAGATATCTGGAAAATTCTACTACCCCAATGACGACGACAAATAGGAGAGGACGAAGAAAACTTTAAAACTCAAGTATCAAAGTCGTGTGATTATAATTGATGAAATGATTATGAACAATAATGAATTGCCTTCGAAACCTCGTCACCCAGTAAATATAAGTACTGTTTCGCTGACTATGTGATACATCTAATAAACAAACTAATATGGAATTTCTTACTATCACCACCATCATAGTGCGCAAGTTTTACACATCATAAAGGAGGGAACATTAAGACTTACCAAACAACCTCAACAAATGAATTGAACCATAAATATCTGACATTCTCTTATCTCTATGATGTTTCAATAGCTCAGCATATTGTAATCGTTCAAATTTGTATAAAAGATGAGAACCAATAGTAAGATTGAAAAAATGCTGAATTCCAACAACAAATTCACGCCGTACACGCGGATTTATTGGCAACTTAGTAGTAGTAGTAGTAGTCAGCTGAGAGTTCTCAGGTTCAGAAGAAGTGCAGTCTTCTTTTATTTCACCAGTTGATTCTGACTTCTGACTAATTTCAGCCTCAGAAGCTTCTAAGAAGTCTGATAAAACATTACATATTGGCTGAGAGGCAGGCAGTTCATAAAGCTGTGAAAATTTAACCGAAGAAAAAATAACTTTTAGAAAGGAAAAACCTCTAGCTTCTTGACACACACACATAAACTCACTAGTAGAGGGAATAAAAGTCACATTTGAATCGGTAAATAAACAAGCAGAATTAGCTTTTATGATGTTAGATTGTAAAATAAAACGAATAGAAGACGGTAAACTTCACACTAGCGGCGTTTATAAAAAAAACCAACGCATTATCCTCATAGATGTTTAGACTTCAATTCGTCTCATCCGTTATCTGTCTGTTAAGTCAGGCTTAGTTAAGTTAAGTGTCTTACAAACCGAACAAGAAAAGACCTAAATGATGAGATAAAACAGATGACCTCTGCGCAAGTATGTTAAAATTGTTTTTGTAGATATACTACTTAATGTCTTTGGCGTGTAAGCAGCTGACGAGAAAGCAACGAAATAGAAGATGGTACCAGTCACTTTATTCTGCAATAACCACTGTTGTTCTTGCTTTGTTCAAATAATAACAATAATAATAATGGAATTTTGATACATCGTTGAATTCTCTGAACGATGAGAGGGGTGGGGGTCGCAAGGTTTCTCCCTGTAACAAAAACTACTACACATCCGAATGCACTCTCGACTAGGCTTCACTGCGATTTTCAACCCATCGAGATGCAACGGTGGCGAGCCAACCAACACTCAAGATGAGAACATTCCTGATCACCCGGAACCAAGGTGAGCCAAGGTACATACTGTGTAACATCTAAGTGACCAAATTGATCACTAAATTAACAAATTTCGACCAACGCTAAAAAATTGGAAATTGCTTTGCTGACTGGATGATATAACGCAACTGAAGATTACTTACCCGAGCTTGACGAGTAATCAAATCCCAGTCATCGATAAGCCAAGATTTCAAAGATAGAGGCAGTGACATCGATAAACGAGGCTGAGACAGAAGGCCATCTTCCTGAGATATGAAAAACAGTGAAGAATATAACGGTAAAGTTGAGAGTATGAATACATACATATAAAAAAATAATGCTTTTGCTCCCAACACCTACAAGCCCGCTCAGTTTCTTGTCAACATGCTACTCCTTCTATCTAATTAGTGGTGCTTAAAGTTTAACTTGGCCACACATCGTACCCCCTGGGAAACAAAGAACTGCCAGATGCTAAGGGACAAAACGACTTAGGAATTATTGTAAACCATGACGCAAAAACAACCGAAAATTGTAATCGAGCTGCAGCTAATACTAGAATGCCATGAGTACTTTGAAGGGCTTTCAAACGAACGACTAGACGAGTCTTTGTTCTAAGTACTCTATGCAACGTATGTCAGCAGGCCTCATCTAGAGTACTGCATACAAGCGGTGATTTCATGCTTCAAAAAGAGGGCACAAATCCTAGAAAGAGTACAGAGGGTAGGAACGAAATTAATTAGTGGTAACCCAAACCTTCCTATGACAAGAGGATGGAGCATTCAAATCTCTTTCCATTATCATACCGAAGGAGGAGGAGAGGTGACTTAATTTTGGCATACCGTGCAGTAAAGGATGATTTAGGAATTCATAGTCTTCACCGCAAAAAGGTGCTCAGACCTAGGTCGAATAAAAATACATCTACAATTTAATTTAGATTCTCTCACAGAATGGTCAACAATTGCAACTCCTTACCTGATTCAGTAGTAACAGCTCCATCGGTGAACGCTTTCAAAGAGAGAAATTAGATTTCTGCAGAGATGTATATTTCAAGGAATAACGCAGACCAGAAGAGCTTTCTATCTTTATTATCTTGATTTGAAAAACAGCTTTAGCTCAAAGAAATATTTAGTTTCATGAACAACTTTTCAAGAGGATTTGAAAACCAGAGGACAGTTAGAAAAGGGAATTTGTTCGCAGGAGTGAACATACAGAAAATTAAATTAATGAGGACAATCTCATGAGGACTAGTGGTCACAGTGTTTAAATACGTTTCGAGTGAGCTAGATAACACAAATATGGACTTAAAATTGTCATTTGACACGACGCTGCTACTTTATTATCTCCTCCAAAGAGGAATTTTTTATCTCACAAAATGAATCACAATACCAAAGTACAAACCATCTCGGAAAAACAAATTTAAATCGCATAGAATGAAAAATTCTGTCACAATAAACACGAAATACTTGCATTTTCAAGAGACTTCAGCACTGATGACACTCGGCCTTTCCTTCTCCTACTTGATACTGTGACAGATTGAGTAGACGGTGTGTTTGCATCTTCACAACACTTAATGGGTGGTTTAATATCTTCAGTCTCTTTCAAATCAGCAGGTACACGAGTATCAGTTTTCCCGTTGGTTTCTTTGTTGGTCTTTACGCTCTTGGCCTTAGGAGCATCTTCCTCTATAGCGCCACTTAGTATACAACCGGGTAATATCTCACCTTGTTTCACTTGACCAGGCTTCAATGTCCGTTCCACGTCCTCCAGGACTTCTGGAGGTGGCAATGACTGTGACTTTAAGTCGGACTTCCTCAAAACTTTAACCTTGCCCGATTTTCTGAAAATTGTAAGAAGCATCATGATCAGAAACATTGCTTTACACAAGTTACATTTGTCGCTCTAATTCTTTTTGTTTCCTCAAACCCTCTTCATTATACTTGAACATACGTTTCTCTGTCACCCATTCATCCCAGCTATATCAAAACGTAAATCAATACTGAAATATTATTACTTTTTATTCCAACCTTGGTAATGCACAAAATACATTACACCATCTTCTTTCACTTTGACGTCTAGACATTTCGCCTCATACATAAGAGGCCCATGGAAACAAAGTAATTTTTCACCTTAATGCACGTGATTCTATATAAGAAAACAGTAAGCATCTTACCTATTTCATATTTTGGTTTCAAATCCAAGCTGGCAGCCTGTAGACGGCCGTAGGTCATTTGATCTGCTGATGTCTAGCGGCTTTATTTAATGAAAAAACTTCGAAAATAGGTGATTTTTCGTTGTTTTACACACTTTTACACCTATATTGCTGCTAAAAGTTGATGTAATAAGGCGTTTTTAGCATAAACAGGAAATGATGGTGTCCTTATCCGGCCGTAATTTACGGCCAATTTACAAATTGTTGAATTACGTACTTTTGCGTTCGGAAAATGTCGAATTACTTGAATAGACATATTATAACGACTCTTAGTGAATTTTTTTTGCAGTTTAAAGGATTATACATGGACATGATGAGGTGGGATAGTTGGTTTTGTTGATTATTTGATTTACTTTGTTGTTTACTTCTGCTAATGCTGTCAAAGCTCCTGTACATGTATTTCATTAAAGTAAATCTACAGAAATACCTAGAAATTATATACGCATAGTATTTACTTATTTTATAGCATATACTTGATGTTAACAGGTAGATACAATGTCCATTTTGTCTTCCTGAAAAATATTGACTGATGTAGTTGTATACAATTAAACTGATTATTTCATGATTTTAAACATGTTAAGTAGTTATTTATTGCATTTACAGTGGTAACAATGTCTACATCTTTAGAATTGTTTTGTTCTTTTTCAGATAATATCTGCTTTCGAGAATTTCATGGATTTGGGCGATAAAGAAAAAGATATCTGCCGTGTTTTTGATTATGTATTACATGTTTATTCATTAATAAATGTATTCCTCGTAATTCGTTTGTATATTCTAGTTGATAAAGCTGATTTGTAGCCTTTGCGTAATTTGTGAGGTACGGAGTATTTGACGTGATCTTAAAAATGCTAGGTAAAATTAGATATTTGGAGAGGCTTATTGATAAAAAGACTCTGTCGTGCCGTAATGAACTTACTGCGTCCACTTGTAAAAGGAAACATTGAAGTTATAAGCGCTTAGTTATATATCGTCTTAGTAGGAACCTATTAATTGACTTCGGATTCATAGTCAAACAAGGTTAAAAGTAAATCTACCTGAGATAGTTAGCTTGCGATTTCTACTTATCGTAATAAACCAAGATGGTAATAATGTACCTATACTGTTCCATATGTGTAACTAAGTGCAACTACGGTTATCGCATTAATTAAATACAGAATGCCTACGGTTCGCAGCTACAGAACACGGTACGTTGCTATCTGTTCATGTAATCGCGTAAACAACAGTTTCCCAGAGGCCGCATTTACTCCTAAAAGTTTGCCCTTAATTCCTAACTTAGCACGTGTTACTAACGTCACTGGGACACAATCGCGTTACAACAGAAGGAACACAGATTCATTACAAAAGTGTTTATTAAACAAAAATTAGATTTAAGATGTACAGATAATTCAGATGAGTAGTCCTCCGTCACTGTCAGTAGGTTTCATCTGCGTACCAGCACAAATATGTTTCTCCATAAGCCTGAAAAGGTTTAAGAAAAGCATTATTAACTTAGATGTTACATGTGTGATCTGAATCATAGGCATTTACAAGTAATCACAAACAATATATATAAGTAGCTATAAGCTTGAACAAAGATTTTAATAAGTGACAACAGCTTTAAGACAAATAATACGAGTTTTGACAGCATTAACAATAGTAGGTATTATTATCGCAACGAATCCATCATTAACTTAGATAGACAACTACTTATTATACAATCATATCAATTAAATGTATCACTTAATCTTATGAAGTAGGTGTTTACTTACTTTCATTGCACTCTCGCAATACTGATGTGGTCAACTAGCTTATTCCAAATGAACTCAAGATTAATCCTGAAAGGTTATGGAGACCCAGTTTATTTCAACTAAAAACATGTAGCCTACATGTATTACTTACTGAGACATCTGATACCTGCTTTGCGATCTTCGTGACAGGAAAACAGTATATGTGGATTTACCTACATATACTGTTTTGATCTTGATATAGGGTGAATTCATTGAATTCAGCAAATAAATCCTCTGGTTTATCAAATCTAACATGAGCTGTAATAGTATGTGCTGTCAATTATGCACCCGACTTCATAAAACGCTCCTGGCAGTTGCGAACTTAACCAAGCAGATAAATGATGTTTGAAATTACCGCAGGTCGAATGACAAACTGGCCAATCACAAGCGAGCAAATCACTTGTTTATCTCACTCGCGGGCACTCAAAATTACGGCCGTCGACAGGCTGCCATCCAAGCTACTCATAGTCACTCAAAATTCAATACACGCTCTCTAATGTCCAATATCCAATATCCTGATTACGAGCTAGTATAAACCAGTGATTTCTTTGAGCTCGCCTCTTGATTGTAAGGTAGAGGTTCCAGATATGTGGTGATCTCCTGCATAGTAAGTCCCGCTACTCGACTGCTTTATTTCTGGTAGACTGCAAGAGGAGTGGTGCGGGGATTGGTCAAAATGTGGTTTGTAGTATGCAGTATGTTAGGACTGTGTTGCTGTCGTGAATGGAGTTTGGCTTAACTCCCCTTGGTAACTCGGTGTAGTCATAAAAGCAGAATAGTAATAATAACAATAGGTTGCAGTGTAGATAATATAGGTTGAGATAATTGAAATAATAAAGGTGACCTAAGGAAAAGATAGAGTAGTCGGTACAGTGAGAGAAGACAGAACGGGTCGTGGGGATTTAGTTGGCATGCTTATCCATTGACAGTGTGGTTTCAAATTTTAAGAGGATAAGCCATTGAGACACAACCTTGCATTTCTGCATGATTGTCCAGCTTCCGCTTAAAAGTCTCCACAGATGGCGCTGTAGTCACGGCCGCCGGTAAAGCGTTCTAGAGACAGCAAACTCGAAGCGAAAAGAAATGTGAACGCACTCGAGTCTTTGGTCTCTAGTGTGTTACCATTAGCAGGTTACCTCCAGGAAGCTCCCAGCTGGCTTTGCATAAAGTGTAAATTTGTGTGGGCCTTGGCGACGTCCCTCGTGTAATTTCCACTGGTGTCTAGCTTTTCTGTTAGAATAAGACCTAGATCGCGCTCTGATGGCACACAACTCAAGTTCTGGCCACCAAGGGTGTAATTTACACCCTGTGACCAGCCGGAATGAAGTTGCACTACTTTGCACTTCTTTAGGTTGAAAGGCATTCTGTTAGCCAGAGCCCAGTCTTCCAGAGTTTGCAGGTCAGCCTGCAATCTGTCTGAGTCTTCCAATGAGTTTATTGCCCTCCAAATCTGTACGTTGTCAGCGTAAAGAAGCGCAGAGCAGTTCAGTTGAAAGGACAGGTCGTTGATATAAATCAAAAACATCAACGGACATAAGATAGAACCCTGAGGAACCCCTTATGCCGAGGTGAGCCAGAATGATCGGATGCGGTTGGCTTTGGTGCAGAATTCTCTCTCGTCTAAGTAATCTTTCAGCCATGCGAGAAGTGCTGCAGAAACACCCTCCTTGCTTATTTTGAGAAGGAGCAGATCATGGTGAACTGTGTCGAATGCTTTTGCAAAGTCGAGAAAGATCACATGGACTGGTACCTTTACGTCCCAGGATAGTGTCCAATTGTTCCAAGCTAGTAGAAGATTCGTCACACAGGATCTTCCCCTCCAAAAACCGTGCTGCGCTTCATGGAGTTGGTCAGTCCCGTCGAAGCATTTTCCCATGTGGCCGTCAGTGAGACTTTCCAATATCTTCGATATCACTGGAAGTAGCGCAACTGGTCTGTAACTGGTCGCATTCTGCCGGTCGCCACCCTTGAAGACATGGGATAGGATGGCTCGTTTCCATTCGCATGGAGGTTTCCCTACATCAAAGGAATGTTGAAACAGATCACTTAGGGGTTGGCAGAGACTCTCTGAACACTGCTTCAGGACGCATGGTCTGATGTCATCACAACCTGAAGACTTTCTCGAAGTCAACTTTCCCAATTTTACGAGTACCATAGTCAGGGTAATTTGAAATGTACCCAGCAGGTTTTCGCGCCTTGGTTTTGCATTGTAATCTTGATGTTTTGTGGGGGTAAAATCCTCGTTACTGTTTAGTTGCCTGTGAAAGGCTAGACTGTATATCTCTGCCATACCGACCACCTTCATCCAATAGGGAATATGATAATATACTCAGCACTATTTTTAATGTTACAGCCAATCTTCCCTACAGTTATAAAATTATCGGAGGTGATTTCAACATACCAGATGTATCATTGTCTTCACTCAGAGGACCCCAAATGTATGATAGTCTCCTGAATTCCATCGTCACAGGAGGGTGGACACAACACATAAATTCACCCACTGTCGTTGTTGTTCCCCTGGGTTCCTAGTGGAATATAGGGCTTCAACTGCACGCCTCCACTTGCTTCTGTCTTGTGCTATACTCTTCACTTGCATCCATGTTAATCCATACTGTTTCAGCTCTTCTTCACACGATCTCCTCCATGTCACCCTTGGACATCCCACACACCGCTTCCCTTTCGGGTTCCACTCGAGCGATGGCCTGACGCGCAGTGTCACCCAACGGCCTTCTCAGCGAGTGTCCAATCCATCTCCACTTCTTTCTCCTGCATATTTGTTGGGCGATTGGTTCTTGTTTCCTTTGTTTGTTCCCATAGTTTCTTGTTGGTTATTGTTCTTTCCGGCCATCTGATCTTCAGTATAGAACGAAGACAGTTGTTGTTGATAAAGGTCTGCAACAGGCTGTTGGAAATATTCTTTGTGACTCGCTGCCAAGTTTCTGATCCGTGTAGAACAACTGACTGACTTGACGTTTGTATTGAAAATCCGAATTTTGTTGTTGATGCTGAGTGAAGAAGATTTCCAGATTGGTTTCAGGTTGATGAATGTGTTTCTCACCTTCCCGATTCTCGATTTGACATCCTCGTCCGTTCCTCGTGAAGTTGAGTCAATGCTCCTT